GGGAAAGGCAAACTCTTGTAGCGCCAAGCAAAAATATAAACTTTGACAAAGCTGTAAATGAGTGATACCAACTGTACGTTTACCTCACAAGTTGTACTTATTAACGACGACTTAAAATAATATCGCTTAGATATCCATAATAAATATTACATGAAAACTGTAGTTGTTATACGGCGTTCCTGAAATTTCAGTATTCATATGATTTATAACTACACATTAAATGCTGAGATTATGAAGTTTCGAATGAGACGCGATCGGATGATAATGAACGACAAATCCAGAGGCGTTTATGAGGAAATAGTTTTAAAATGTTTTATATCTCTTATCCTAATGTTTACCTAAGATGATTTATTAGGAAAAGTACAATTAAAAATCTACGTAGCTTACTTCTGAAGCCGAAGTTATGCATTATATTCCATGCAAGAAAACCGAAAGCCAAAGAATTAGTATAGGGTATGCTTGATAAACATAACGTTTGTAGAGTTGGCTCTATTCTACTTTTCAGTTGGTTGGTTGTCGTTATGTCGACAGATATTTACATTTGTTTATTATTCGTAACAACAACGTCTGGGATCCAAACCGAGACATTTGGAATAATAGATTAGTAAGGTAACCAGTAGACAACAGGACTGGCAATCCCCCCACTTTTATGGAACCATAAGCTTCATTGCTGTGTTCACAAGCGATCGCCACAGTAACTGCCCTGAGCCAGATGAATCCAGTCCACCATACTTCATCACGTTCATTACACAAGCCCTTTAATAGAACCTCTGCTGAAGCATTTCAGTTCAGTTCACAACTGTACAAACCAACCTGTCCAAAATACAAAAACTCTTCTTGTTATCCTCTCATTTAACCTAACACATTGCATGTGCCCAGGTGCTTCCTTAGTCATGTTTCCCAGACATGATCTTGAAAGCATCTATTTTTCTCCATTTCCCACACATCATAATATTCTGATATAATCACTGTAATGATATTATATGAAGAGATGTGAAGCCCCTGGTTACGTAAGCCAATTACAATGTTAGCACAAAGGGGTGCTATCAGGATTCAATCCACGGACCTGTCGAACACGAGGATGAGATTTGGAACTTTCACCCC